TAGGCAGGGGCTCTACCACTGAGCCACACCCCAGCCCCTCACTGGGGGATTCTAGGCAGGGACTCTACCACTGAGCCACACCCCAGCCCCTCACTGGAGGATTCTAGGCAGGGCCTCTACCACTGAGCCATGCCCAGCCCCTCCATGGAGCCATGTTCCAGTACAGAGATTTCTGATTGATCCCCAGCTTCTATACTTCCTCTATCCCTTCCTGAGTCAGCAGTCAGAGCAATTCAGTGGAAATGAATACTAGCTAGTATCAGTCTCTATGGCTTTCTCAGTCAGTGAAGTCCTGCTCTCCTGTCCATGAAAGTACTAAACAGCGTTCCCATACCTCACACAGCACCCATGTCCCTAGCCTGAGGTACAAGCAACCACCCTGTGTACAGCCTATGGCTCTGCATTCTCTAGGCAGTTCAGGAGGTAAGTCGGGGTGGGGGGAAGGGAGGAGAGAGAGACCTGTTTTTTAAAACTGTTTATTTTAAAACATGAAACTCAAGCTGAGTAGAGACCACAGAAATTACATGGACAAGAACTTTAGTTATTTGCCAAGAAAAATAAAGTTCCCCAAAGAAATAAAAATCAAACCCCAAACCCAGTTTTAAAAAATGAAAGCACAGCAACAGTAACACACAGCCATGGCCCTACGGAGGCTGGAGGGGAACTGGGGGCTGGCTCAATTCAGATGACATTGTCCACTGGGGGCAGATGCAGGCAAAGGGACAGGAACTGGGAGGCAAACCTCACAAAATCATATACAGGAAGAAGGGCGCAGCACACCACCGTTGTGATTAAAACAAAGAAAGAGACCCTGGTCACCTGTGGCCTGGGAGCTAACCACCTTCTGGGCCGGGCAGAGCTGGGAGCTGGTAGAGCAGGTATTGGAGCTGGGGTCAGGAATTGCATAGTGATATAGGGTAGGAGGGTGGGCACTGGGGGAAGGGCTTCAAGGATGCTCCAGGCCAGGATCTTCAGCTCCTTATACAAACCAGAGCACGTTTGTTAGGGGTAGTGGCCTCCAGGCCTGTCAGTTTTCCCAGCCAGATCCCTCCTCCTGGCTCGGCTAGGGATATGGTTCTGGATTGGTGGCTCGGCCTCCTTGCTACCCACCAGAGCTGTAGGGTCCCATGGGGTGAGAGGGACTGAGGACCAATCACAGGCAGCTGGCACTGGACTGCTCACCCCCTGGGGATGTGGGGAGACCACTGGGATTGAGTAGGTAAAAGTGGTACCCCGGAAATCAGGAAACAAAATGAAACAGAGCACAGTGGTCGGAGCCGTCTCCTCCGCAGAGGTCAGGGTGAGAACGCCCTTTTGGTTTCCCCTCGCTTCCTTTCTTCAGCCTCAGTGAGTGAAACGTCACAGATGGGGGCACGCACGCACATGACAGTCAGGACTCCCAAGACAGCACAAGTTCACAGCCACGTCCGGGCAGTGCCCGCCTCTCATGCTATATACATTCACCTTGTGGCCAGCTCACGGCCAGGGGGGCAGCATTTGTGCTTCTGAGAGGCCCCAGGGCACACCCAGGCACCCAAGCGGGGGTGCCCCAAGCCTCCCTTTGGACCTCAGGCCAGGAACATACCCATAGTGGGCAGACGCTGCAGCTGGTCCTCTACGGCCCTGGAGGTTCCTGGCACCAGGCCAGTCGGAGCCAGGGGCAGGGTGCCCTGCACTGGACATGCTCAGGAGCTACAGATGCCCAGCCTGGGGTCCCCAGGCCCCCTGAGTCCTCTGCCCACTCCTTTTGGTCCCAGACACCAGCACAAAGAAAGGGGCTGTTTGGGAAGGAAAGCAATGTGGAGTCTCTCCCTTCTGAGAGGAGCTGAAGCTCCAGGGAGGGGGGTGTTTCTGGGATCCATAGCTTCCAGGTTGCTCCAGGAGGGCCACAGATCTGTAAACCAACTACCACAGGGTCCCAGCCTTGCCCTGCCCACCACATGCTGCTCTACTGGCCCATAGCTGCCCATCCCACGAGAGCTCACACTGGCTGGCTGGGCCAGGGTAGAGGCTCCAGGTCGATTTGGAAGCTAATTCATTGCCTCGCAGCAGGAAGCACAGCAAACATCACACACTAAAGCCAAAAGCACCTTAGGCAAGCAGTGTTCTGGGTGAGGGCTGAAGCCACACAGACTTCAGTCCCCAGTCCCCAGGACATGCTCCTCCTGGGGCAGCACCTGCCTGGGGAGGGGTCTCTAGGCCCTTTGAGTAGCCTGTAGGTCTGGCCCCTCCCTGGCAGCACCCCACAAAGAAATGACCACTCTAGCCCTGGCTCCAGGCTAGACTTAGGGTCACGCTTGCTGGCTCAGGGTCAGCCAGGAGTGCCTATGGCAGCTGAGAGTGAGGTTAGTGGTTAGTCCCAACGGGGGCCTTCTGAGGCTGGGGGCACATTCACAGCCATCACAGCTCCAGCCCCCAAGGTTGGGCTCCAGAGGGCACTGCCGCTTGTCCTGGGTGAGAAGGAAACTGAGAGGATAGTGGGCAGTGTCCTGCGTCGCCTATGTCCCAGACCGCCCTGGAGATGACAAATATGGTCAGTGCAAAAAACAAAGGGGACAAAGAAGCTGCCACTCTTCAGGAATGAATGGGAAAGAGGTTTTGGCACCAAGAAGGTGGCCAGCAGTGAGAGGCCAGGGAGCGGCCTGGACTCTGCATGGCACCTGCTGTCTGGGAGGGCTGGCTGGGCGCGGAGGGAGAGTCATGTGGGGAGGAGGTGCAGGAAGAGCCCCACCCTGGAGGCAGCTCAGAATCGACAGGAAGAACCAAGTTAGCCGGGTGGATAAGGGAAGGCGGGCGCCGGGCTTGGCAAAGATGAGTGTGTGTGAAGGGCCGCTCGGTGATGAGCAGGTGGGCGCCAGGCACAGGGTCCACCGCCTATGAACAGAGAAGTGGTCCTCAGACGTGTCAGCGGCTAGGGCAGTACCAGAAAAGGCTTGGTGCAGCTGGAGCGAGGGAAGCGCCCAGAGTGCATGGGACAGCGTAAAGGGTCACCTGTAGAAGGAGCATGGGGTGGAAGCACCTGGCACAGAGGAGGGCTCAGGGAGCCCAGGAGGACAGAAGGGCAGGAGAGACAGAGGCAGGCAGGGTCGGGTTGTTGGTGGCAGCGTCTGTCCAGGCGAGTGCCCCAGAAGCCGCACTTCTCAGGCTGGCCCGGAGCTCATGCTGGGCACCTCCATGCCTCCTGCAGGGTGGGTATAGCGGGACCTTCAGGTGTGCCTAGGGCTGGCCCAGTGCGGCTTGCGGAGGGTCCGGCAGGGTGGAAGCAGCAGTGCTGGCATAGGAAGGGTGGGGCATTGGCACGTGGGGGCAGATGCTGGCCGGTGCGCGGTCTAGTGCCCGCTGCCGCTGGAGTCGGGGCGAGGCTGGCTCGTGGCGAGGTATTTGGCTCTCATGCTGGAGGTGTACTGGAGGAGAGAGGGAAGGAGGGACCAGGGTCAGGTGGGTTCCTAGCTGGGGCTGAGCAGCCAGCAGCCTCTTTGATGTGGTCCTTGGCAGGGTGAGCCACAGCCAACCCTTGGGGGGCAGAAGACAGCAGTGGAGAGCATGGTTGGCAGAATCCTAAGAGGCCACTGGCCCAGGGCTGGACCAAGGACTGAGTACAGATTAGAAAGTGATGATACCTAGAGTACAAAGGTCAGCCTCTGTAGACAAGGCTGGACCACAGAGGCCAGCTCCCTTCCCAGAGAAGAACATCCAGTCCCGTAAGCCGCTTTCAGAGTTCTGTCAGACCCTTGCCTCCTCCGATAATTCAGCTCAAAGGCTCTGAATGCATCACACAAGCTGAGAACAGGAAGGCCACACAGGCCCCACCTCTGTACCTCTGCCTCAGAGCTGTGCCCCGGGTCAAGCAAGGGCTCCGAGGGCACGCCCACAGGAAGCTAAGCCACAGACCACAGCCATACATCTCCATCACCCCCAGGAAATGGGGGTGCTTCAGGCTACAGTGACTCTGCCCCAGTCCTTGGATGGGAAAACTAACTAAAGGATGTGTGACTCAGGACAGAAGTGACTGCCTGGTTCTGCCTATACATTTTGGCCACCTTAACACCACAGGTGTGAAGGTTTGGGTAGTGCGTGCGTGCGTGCGTGTTTGTCTGTGTCTGTTTGCAGAGGAACACGCCTCCAAGCATGTGCCAAGGCCAGGCAGTGTGCAACGAGTTTGCATGCCTGAGGCAGCGACAAAAGTCACCAGCACTCAGAAGACCAGGCAGGGCGACCCCCACCCACCCCACCCCAGGGAGCACAGGCTGGCTCCACAGTTACCAGATGAGAGAGACAATGCTCCCAGGGTCCTGAGTGCTTTCCTGAAACATTCTAGGTTAAGGTTGCAAGCAGCCTATGAGGTGGCCATGGTGCAGGGGTGGGAGGAGCAGGGGCCCAGAGCCCTGTCATTCCATGGACATGCAGAGGTGACAAGGGATAGGGGGTGGAATGGGACAATTGGTGGGACGGGACAGGACGGGAGGCGGTAGTCCAGTGAGGCCTGGAGGAGCTCAAGCAGGCATGGGGACGGGGGCAGAAGTTCGCACCCATGTGAGCATGTCTATGTGTACCCTGTGCATGGGTCAACATGCAGGACCACATACCCAGGGACCCAGCTCTGCATCCAAAGTCAGATGCCCACAGGGGCCTGGATGGAAGTGACTAGATGGGCTGGGCCACCTGCAGCTAATGAGGGAGTCAAGCCTGGAACGGGGTTCCCTGTGACATCAGTGGGCTCAGGACCACTTCAGTGGCCTCCAGACCCCCAACAGTGGGTGGAGGATGGTGAGCGGAGGGTGCAAGGCATGGAGGTACAGGCGGACAGCCGTGCGGGATGGGGGCTGGGTGGGTCAGTACCTGTCACTCTGAGGGTACAGCTACCACAGTGTTCGGGCGCTGTCCATGGGTTTAAATTGCCAGCCTGCATGGCTGCCAGAGTCCAGGGCAGCCAGGTAGCGCTAGGAGGACCCAGGGTGGGAGGGACGCAGGAGAGAGAGAGAGAGAGGGGTGTCCTCAACGCCAGGCGTGGCCGGCCCCAAGTGGACCATGAGACCAGAGGGCCAAGGGTGAGAGGCAGTTGGACGTGACGCAGAGGCCTGACAGTCCCTGGTCCAGGTCCTGGGCATCTCTGCCCCGTCCTGTGCTAGGGGATATTGGGCGATGTGACTGGCACATGGGTGTTCCTAAACCAAGGTGGCCTTCAGCCTCTTAGGCCCTCACAGCCCAGCCCGCAGGGAGGCCACAGGGCCACACTTTCTCTTCAGCATCAGATCCACCCTGATCCTTCTGTCTACATCTCACTCCAGGGGTTTGGAAAGGACATCAGGCTTGGGCTACAACAGCTTGGGGCTGAGACATGGGTGGATGTTTAGGGAGAGAAAGGAAGCAAGGCAGGGGAAAAGGTAAAAAGGAAGGAAGGGAGGGAGGGAAGTGCAGGAGGGAGGAGAAAATGGAAGGAAGGAAAGAGAAGCAAGGACAGAGACAGGAGGAGGGGTGAGAGGAGGAGGGAAGAGGGAGAAGAAAAGAGGAGGGAGAGAGGAAGAGGGAGGAGGGTGAGAGGAAGAGGGAGGAGGGTGAAAGGAGGAGGGAAGAAGAGGAGGGAAGAGGAGTGTAAGAGAAGGAGGGAAGAGGAGTAAGAGAAGAGAAGGGAGGAGTGTGAGAGGAAGAGGGAGGAAGAGGGTGAGAGAAGGAGAGAAGGAGAGAAGAGGAGCGAAGAGAAGAGGAGGAGGGAAGAGGAGGAGGGTGAGAAGAAGAGGAAGAAGAGTGTAAGAGGAGGGAGGAGTGTGAGAGGAGGGAGGAGGGAGAGAGGAGGAGGAAGGAGGAGGAGGGAGGGAGAAAGGGAGGAGGCAAGGCTAGCTTTCATGGTGAAGCTGCCAGGCCAAGGCATTGAGAAGTCCAGGGGAAAGGTGGGAAGAGAGTTCTGGGCCCTGCTGGCTGCCTGCTCATCTCAAGAAAGAACCAAGGGCTGAGCTGCTGGGCAGCAGGACCCAGAGGCTGACCACACTGACCCCAGGCTCCTCAAGCCTGGCACGAGCTGCAGGACCCACCCAGCCATTTATTTAGGCCCACAGCTTTCTCAAGAGCCCAGGCAGTCTGTGAGAGCCATCCCAGGGTACCATGGCGGCAGACAGGCAGAGCCCTCAAGCCCAAGAGTCTCCCCATCCACCCTCCTGCCCTGAGACTTACTGAGGGCGGTGGGGACTCGCGCCCAATGAGGGGGGTGTTCTCACAGCGGGGATTCTGGAAATTGGCATTCTGGCTCCTGAGTGAAGGGGAGAGAGAGCACGTGAACAGTCAGGGCCACATGGTCCTTACTCTGGGGGAAAGGGCCCATCTTTCTGTTGTTGTTTTGGGGGTATTTGTTATTGGTTTGGTTTGGTTTAGACAGGGTCTCACATAGCCCAGGCTGGCCTTAGGTTGCCAAGGATGACCTTAACCTCCCGATCCTCCTGCCTCTCCCTACTGAGTGATGGGATGGCAGGTGTGAATACTGTGGAGCCAGACAGGTCCCAGGCCTGAGCAGCGCTGCAATGCTATCTTTACAGTATCAAGCTCAGAAGAGTCCTCAGTGCATGCCGGCCTCCCTGGCAGTCAGAGCCTCCCTCCCACCATGTTCCCAGCCTATCACAAAGGCACACAGCACACCCTCCACCTGGCCATGTGCCCCCCACCCCATGGCTTTTGACTGGGTTCACCTAGTCACACGTTAGTGCCAGGCCATTCCACTTGAAGCCCTGGCTGCCCAGCCTTGATGAAGCCACCGCACCCCCCACCCCCACACCCCCCAGCGCCTCCCTGCAGCTATGCAGGCCCTGCACCTGCCTCCCCATCCACCAAGCCTCACAGTCTGCAGGCTTCCCACCGAGTCTGCACATGGTCCCTGTCCTAACCTCCACAACTCACATGTACTCGGTGACCGGGGCGTTGCTGACGGTGTGGGCGGCGGCTGGGATGCTGGCCTCACTGCCGTAGCTGCTTCCGCAGCTGTACAGACTGGGCATGTGCACTCGGTAAAGGCTGTCGTGTGCCTGTCGCGGCCCTGGGGCAGTCTCCTCTTCCCCATCCTCATCAGGGCCTCTGCAGGGAGGGACAGCAGCACAGGCTCAGCGTCCTTAGCATAGGGCACGGACACATGGACGAACGGATGCATAGACGCACAGACGCACAGCAGGGTTATGGGCTGGTCATCTCTGTCCTCTGAAGTGGCATCAGCGCTGTACCTTTGCTTGGGCTAGGGTGTTCTCTTTTGGTTTTGCAGGGTCCTCAACCTTGGGTGGCCTGAGGTGACCTGCTCTGCTCCCACCCTCTGCTCCATGTTAGTGGCTGTGGGCCAGGCTTATGTTGTTCGGGAGCACCCCGTGCTCTGCCGGTCCACACAGAATGCAAGTCTGGGCTACTGGGTGGGTGGGAAATACTCAGAGGAGGGACAGTGTGAGCCGCTGGCGTGGTCACAACTGAGCCAGGCAGGATCCTCACACACAGCTCCCACCTGATTCCCAATATGTGGCCCTTTAAAAAGAGGGTAACTTTCACTTTTAATTCCGTGCACTTGTGTGGGGAGGGAGTCTGTGCACATGCGTGCAGGTGCTCGTGAAGACCAGTAGAGGGCGCTGGCTCCCTAGGAGCCACAGTTCAAGCAATTGTTAGTTGACCAGCATGGGTGCTCGGAACTAACCATGGGTCCTCTGTGAGAGGCAGCGTGCACTCTTCACCCCGAGCCATTGCTCCAGTTCCACATACCCTATCACCGTGACCTTTGCCACAGCCGCCAGGATCTCCATTGTAACCAGAATCACAACTGTAACCACGACGGCCATCAGAATCACCACTCACCGTCCCTGTCGTCACTGTGACCACCACCCTCATCATTATGTCTTCATCACCACCACCACCACTTTCACCAGGCTGTCATCAACAATGCTACCATTGCCACTGGCACGACTGCTACCGTGGCCGTCACCACAGTCTCCAGCACGTCCCCTCCGCCTTCACCGGAATAATTACTGCCCCGATAACCACCCTCATTTCCTGAGCAGCAGCGGGGCTGTCATTACCTCTGTGTGCATTCACAGCCCCACCTTGAACATCATCCTCAGAATCAGCACCGCAGCCCGTCCCTCCCCACCCTCCCCACCCTCCCCACCCCCTGCTGTTTTTGTTTGGTTTTTTTGTTTGTTTGTTTGGGTTGGTTCTTAGAGACAGGGTTTCTCTGTGTAGCCCTGGCTGTCCTGGAACTTACTCTACTGACCAACATGGCCTCAAAACCAGAGATCCCCCTGCCTCTGCACAAAGGCATGTGCCACCACCATCCAGCTGTTTCTCTGTGTATTTTGAGGAAAATTCTCTCTTTATAGTCCTCGTTGTCCTAGAACTAACTCTATGCAGTTCAGGCTGGCCTCAAACTCACCGAGATCCACCTGCCTCTGCCTCCCGAGTGCTGGGATTAAAGTTGTGCGTCGCCGCATCCAGCCATCACAACCCTCCTCACCATCACCAATTCCATTCCCATCAAAGGGAACAGCACAGGCACCGGGGACAAGCCTCAGCTGACATACCTGCCATCTGAGCAGGGCCACCAACAGCACCCATGGCCCCAGTGGGGGAGGGTACAGGTCTGGGAGATGCATCTTGGAAGGAAGCCTAACTCTCCATCCCCTCCACCTAGTTCTACGCTGAGGAAAATGAGGCGGGGCCATGAGGACTCCTGACTTCAAAGACAAAGACACAGGGGCCTCATCAGGGTCCCCAGTAGGATCAGCCACCAGAACTTCCTATGCAGAAGCCAAGCCCCTGCCGTCCACAGCTGTGCACATCTGTCCCTGGAACTGTGGAACACGCGTCTGCTGCAGTCTTCAGGGTGTAGGGCATAAAGCTAACACAAGGGGGCAGGAGAGGCTGGCTTTATCCCTGCCTGCACTGGATGGACACTGTCTCCATCATTACTACCGTCACCACCGGCTCACCTAACGGCAGGCAGCTGCCAACTGGAAAGTATTGGGAGGTGAGGAAGTGCACGCCTCTCACCCCCAAGTCCCAGATCCCAGGGAAAACCGTACCTCTTCTGTTGCCAGGTGTGAGGGATGCTGCAGACGATGGAGCTGAACATGAGGGCTGTGACAAAGGAGAAGAGGGCCAGGTAGATGAGGCCCTCCACACCATCGTAGCAGAAGCCCGTCAGTGCCTGCACGTAGTCCTGAGCAGGAGAAAAGGACACAAAGCCGGGGACAGGAGAATTGAGGACAGGTGGTGCCACACTGCATGTCCCTTACATGAGGCAAGGTAGAAGACCAGGGACCCAAGGACCACCCATCTCTTTCTGGTGGCTCCCCTCCTCCCCGCCCCAGCTGCCCAGTGGCCTTACCAAGTGCAGGCTGCGGCAGTCCACCAGGGCGGTGAGGTGCTGGAGATTCACTTCTGTGCCATTTAGCACCTCCTGGACTCGGAGCAAGGGATCCTGGGGCGGAGAGTTCAAGTGTCACTTGGTGTTAGCACGATGACTGGGAAGACCTGAAGGAGCCATGGTCCCCCCCACTCCACGGTCTTTCCATCTCAGAACTAGGAAACCATCTTCTGAACCTGTCCCTATATAGCCCCACTAGGGTTTTCAGAAATGGCAGGTCTGGGTCCTGTGCCTTGGAAACAGAGGGACCAGGGAACCTACAGATACCTGTCCAATGTGGTCACTGCTAAGAAGACATAACTAATTTTGTCAAGAGTCTTGCTATACTGTAAGTGGTTTCAAACTCATAATCCTCCTGTCTCAGCCTCTTCAGTGCCAGGATTGGAGGTGCATAGTACCATACCTGGCTAGATTTGCCTCACTGACACAGGACAAACTCACTTACTGTGTGTCACTCACTGGGCCATTCTACTCTTAAAAATCTTATTTTAGGAGGCAGAAAAAAAATGGCTCAACAGTTAAGAGCATTGGCATTTTCAGTACCTACATGGCACCTCACAATTGTCTGTGACTCTAGTTCTGAGATCTGATGTCCTCTAGCCTGTACAGGAACTGAGTACACACATGGTGTACACACACACACACACACACACACACACGCGCGCGCACACATGCACACACACAGGCAAAACACCCATGCACATAAAATTAAAAATAAATTCTACAAAAGCTGTATTTTAGGCTAGTTATGGTAGACAACCCAGCATCCCTCAGAAGCACAGGCAGGAGAATTAATGCGTAGCAAGTCTTCCCTGTTTTTGTTGTTGTTGTTTTTAAAGATAGGGTCTTACTATGTCTGTAGCCTTGGCTATCCTCGAACTCACAAAGAACCACCTGATCCTGCTTCTTGAATGCTGGCACTAAAGGAATGTTCCACCTTACCTATAATCAGGGAGTTTGTGCTAGGAAAACAGAAAGGCCCTGGAGTGATGGACTGGATTGTGTCCACCGTGGGCTAAAGGCCCAACCCAGAACCTCGGAGAGTCACAGTTCGGAGAGAAAGCTTTTCTTTTTTGCAGCATGGGGTAGAATCCAGTGCCCGACATACACCTGACAAGCACTTTATCACCAAGCTAGTGAGACATAAGGTTTCACAGGAGCCCAGGCTAGACTCTCACTCTCTATGCAGCTCAGGCTGACCTAGAAGGCCAGATCTTTCCCTAGGGTTCACTGAGAGTCAGGTGTGTGCCACAATACCCAGCTAGGCCTTGGTTTTTTGAGATGGGGTTTGGCCATGTAACCCAGGTTAGCCAGGAATTCAAGATCTTGCCTCAGCCTCCTGAGTCCTGTGGTTACAGCCATGCCACTATGCCAAGGTTGTATTACTTTTTGGTATACGGAACAAAATTTTATTACATTCTCTGTGGTATGTGTGCATGCTATGTGTATAAGCACACCACAGGAAGCACATGGAGGTCAGAAGACAACGTGTAGGAATCACTTCTTTCTGTCCGCCATGTGGGTCTCTGAGACTGAACTCAGGCTGTCAGGCTGGGTGGTAGAGACCCTTTCCATTCTGAGGCATCTCACCAGCCTCTCAAATATTTTATAAATCTGTGGGAAATGTCAGGGAAAAGGAGGGAGGGTGAAAAGGAGGGGAGCAAGCAACACCCTCGGGTTCCCCGCAGTCAGGGCCACCCTTGCCCACAGCCTCCTCACCTTAGTGGCTGGGTGCTCCCGGGGGACACTCCTCAGCAGCTCGGTGACGACATCTTGCATTTCCACTAGAGCCTTGTGGCTGCCCGACAGCTTCTGCTCCACAGAGAAGTGTGGAATCCAATGGCTGCCAGCTGCTCCTCCTGCCCCAGCCCTCCCAACATGGGCAGCCCTCAAGGCCCCAGGTGGGCCAGTTATGCCTGACTCCGCAGGCTACAGGACACCCCTTCTTCCTGAAGGTGTCAACACAGGGGACAAAACACACACCCGAGGTGGTAACAAAGGCCTCACTCACGTCAGAGAGCAAAACAAAGCATTCTCAATGGAATGTATCCTCAGGATGCAAGGGTTCCCTCACCCCACTAACATAACAGGGGGTACAGGATATGGCTAGCTTGGAGTGCCAAACTCTTCAAATGTCACTACTGAGACCCCTGAACAGGCGGCATTCTACAGGTGTCCCCCAGGGCTCCTCCCATACCGGCTCACATCCACCAGTCAGCTAGCCTCTGTCCTGCAGGGCTGCTGAGGGAACCCCCAAAGAATGAGAGGCATCCCAAGGATCCCCCATTCCATAGGTCATCACAGGATGGGGCAACAGATTAGCATCCCCAAGCTGGGTATGCAGAGCCTAAGGGGCTAGCAGCTTCACATATCTGGGCTTGGAGGCTGGGCCCATGGCTCCTTCAGCCTGTCCCCATACCCTGTGACCCTGGCCTTGGCCACCCAGGACCAGCTTGGCTCTCACCTGCTGGAAAGGGTTGGTGGCACGGGGCGAGCAAGCCAAGTAGTATTGCAAAATGTCTGTGAAGAGAGGGAGGGAGCTGAGTGCAGGTCCCGTCTGTGTCTGCATGCAACTGCATGCATTCCCGTTGTCCTCAAGCTTGCCTGCTTGTGTCTGGGTGTCTGTCTACACGTGCCAACGCTTGCAAATGGTGCATGACTGCATGCATGTGCTTCTACACACTTGTATGTAAATATATTCGCACACACAGGCATGTGTGTTTGCATGTGTGTGAGGCTGAGTCAAGACCCTGTCCTCGGAGGGTGTCTTCCTGCTCTGAAGCACTGGGTGGAATAAGGTCCCAGTACCCACACTCAGCTGTAGGTTCTGTGTCCCATTAGGTTTCAAGAGATGCAGGGGCTGTAGGACCGAGGCCATGGCTCCTCACTCTCTCCTTGCAGCCAGTGCCTCAGAAGTCCTGCTGGTCCCACCTCGAGGGAATGTCCCTGTCCACTTCCACCTGCTCAAGCCTCCACTGTCTGGGGCCTGTGGCTCTCCAGTAGCTTCTTCTTCCCTCCTTGTCAGCTAGCAGCCTCAGGATGTTTTTGTTTATTTTATACTTTTGTGGGTTTTGAGATAGTCTTACCCAGGTTGAGCCTGGAACTCAAGATCCTATTGCTATCGCCTCCTGAACGCTAGGATTCCGGTGTGTGCTGTGCCCAACCTCAGGACACTTTTACAAGGATACCGCATCATGACTTGGGCCTGTCCCTTTCTTCCCCACCACATGAAAGCCACTATACTCCCAGCTGTGGCTCAGCCTCTGGCTTCCCACCCTCTCTGTTCCCAGTTAGGTGCTTCACAAACACAGCTGGGGCTCCTGTCTCAGACATCCACTAAAGGCGCAGCCTCCTGTTTAGCAAATGTGTCTTCCCCCTGGCTGCTTACTAGGAAGTTGCCTGGGGTACTGGCTTCCTGGCCTGCACCATGCCTCCCTAAGGTCAAAGGCCTGTGAGGGCAAGAGGTCCTCAGCCTTTTCCACCTTGCTGTCTGCCCTAGTTCATTCCAGTCCCAGGCACAGCCACAGACTCACCTCCACTCAGTACTGAGTATTCCTCCACCATCTTGGTCACGAAGGTGTCAGGGTCTACACAGAAGTCGCTGGAGCCCTGAGGTGGGTAAGGCAAGAAAGGGCTGGTGACCAAGCTGGGCCTCAGAGGGAAGCCAGGCCCACCCAGAGTTCTTGGGGAGACTCCACTCCCCAGGGCATGACCTTTGTTCAGGGGACAGAGTGCAATATAGGAAACACGGATTTGTGTGACCCAGGGCAAGATGAGAGCTTATGAGTATGGCTTCCTCTCCTCTCCACTAAAGCCCCTCAGATAATGATTCCTGGGCTCCCGCCACTCACCACAGACACGGCCAGCTCCAAGCCCAGCGCACCCCAGCTGATGACCAGGGCCAAGACACCCAGCAAGCAGACCCTTATGGGACAAAGAAGGCCAGTCAGGCTGGGAATAGGGGACATGCCACGCACACAGCTGCAGTACAGAGTGCCAGTCCCCCAGAGCCTGAGGGGTCTGATACACACAGGGCAGTACGCTCTCCTACGGCCTGGTCTCGGAGCTACTCAAGGCCCAGGACCTGGACAAATGTTCTACCTGGCTGAGATGGGACTCGACCCATACCTGAGGACAAGGGAGCAGCCTGGGTGCTCCTATAGGGTGGCCTATAAGTACCCTGTGTAGACTCTAATGACCATAAACAGGAAAGTGGTCCGTGACACTGGTCACACAGTATGGCAGTTCAGGGAGGGGACGGCTGCTCTTGGGGAGATGCTCGTGGCCAGAGCTTCGTGCATCTCATTGTCAGAGAGGAGACAGGGCTATGCTACCTCATCCCGTCACCCCATCCCTCGATCCCTGAACCCACAGGAGCCCACCTTCCCCTCTGACTCACCCAACCAAGATACCCTTGGAGCTTCGGATGAGGCCCACCAGCACCAGGAGGCAGATGATAACATCAAGTAAGAGCAGGCCCAGGTACCCCAGCCACCTGTGGACACACAGGCGTGAGCCAGGCGTGGGGACAGGTAAACAGCCTGGGACTTGTGTCTTTTTTGGCAGGGTCTTGCTATTTAGCCCAGGCTGGCCTGGTGCTCCCAGCCCCTTGGCCTCAGCTGTCCCAGTGTTTGGATCACAGCTGCATACCACCAAGCCTGACTTGATGTCAGTTCTTGAAGACAGCGCCTCCTCCCACAAGGATTCTTGCTGTGACTGTCAACCTCAGAGACTAAGTACAAAGTAGTCCCAGGAGGACGATGCCCTCCCAGGTGGGGTGGACCATAGCAGGAAGGCGGGAAAGAAGCTAGGCGCACCTGTACCAGTCATAGAGGTCCACCTGTTCAGCTAGCACCTCCAGCGACACTCCAGGGTTCCTCCAAAAGGGGATGGAAGCGGTGTAGCCCAGCAGTGTCCCCAGCAGGGTCTGCAGCCGCTGCACAGCCCTCAGTGGCTCCTGCCGCCCAGCCAGCTGCCTCTCCAGGCTCTGCAGGTTGGGCTCCGCTGTACGGTTAAGGGCCGCAGCCGTGTCCCACACCTTCGAGAGGATCGATATAAGCTAGGGCCAGGTGCAGGGCTGTCACCTGTACTACCAGATGCACACAGAAGGTTCTAGAACACACAGGATGCTCCCCAGCCAGCTACTCACGCGGTCCTGGACCCCTGCCACTGTGCGGTTGGCATGGCGGAGTGAGTAGGTGGCTCGATGAACACCATCGCTGGTCTCCCCGTTGCCGTAGAATCCCACTGCGATGCCCGCACTAGGGAAGGCAGAACCACTGGATGCCGGACTTACAGTCGATGGCCCCCAATCTCCTTACCCCTACCCCACATTCTACAGTTTTATTGGCTGTTTCTTTCCTGACCCTACCCTGTCCTCCAAGCCCGGGTCCCACCTATCTTCTGGCCCCGTCCAGACCCTCCCATCCTCTCCCTAACCACGCCCTCACCCCCCCCCTCCACGTAGAGCTCTCTAGACCCTCCCTTATGTCGGGCCCTCCAACCCCTCCCTCTGGAACAAGTCTCAGGGCTGGTGAAGGCCTCTCCAGCTCACCTGCAGACCAATGTGGCGATGATGACGCACCAGGCGGTGCAGCAACAGTCGGCCTCAAGGTGCTCATCTGTCTTCCTCCGCCGGCAGCATAGCCAGAAGGAATAGAAGAGCAGGAAGAGGAGGTCTAGGGCCAGGCAGGCCAGGGCGGTGGCCCCCAGCAGCAGCAGTGCCTGAGAGCGGGCGGGAGACAGAGGAAGCTGGAGGATATGGGGCCGGGGCACAGTCCCATGTCAGCCCCTCTTCTCAGTGGTTCTAAATTTTTTTAAGTCTGCCTGTAAAGAAACTTAAGAAGCCATGTGTCAAGTCAGCTGGCACATGTCTGTAATCCCAGAACCTGGGAGGCTAAAGCAGGAGAGTTCCTGTGAGTTGGCGTCCAGTCTGAGCCACATAGTAAGTTCAAAGCTATGGAATACAGAGAACTCTATTTCATTTCATTTCTTTTCTTTTTTTTTTTTGAGACAGGGTTTCTCTGTGTAGCCCTGGCTGTCCTGGAACTCACTCTGTAGACCAGGCTAGCCTCGAACTCTCAAACTCAGAAATCCACCTGCCTCTGCCTCCCAAGTTGCTGGGATTAAAGGCGTGCACCACTACCGCCCGGCTAGAACTATACTTCAAAAAACAAAAAAAAGCTAGGACCACAGAGACGGCTCAGTGGTTAAGAGCACTAGATGCTCTTCCAAGGGACAAGGGTTCAACACAGCACCCACACGGAGCTCACAACTGTCTGAGACAGCAATCAGAAGGAGATCTAACGCCTTCTACTGGCCTCTGGGGGTATGAAGCATGCATATGGTACACAGACACATGCAGACAAACACCCATGCATAGAAAATAAAAATAAATCTTATTTTAAAAACAGAAAAATCTGGGTCTGTGAGATAGCTCACTAGATAAAGGTGCATGTACCAAGACACCCTGAGTTTAATCCCAGGACCCGCATGGTGGAGGGAGAGAACACCCCTGATCCAGAAAGTACTTTGACATCCACAGTGCACCATGCAATGTGTCTTCCCCCTTTGCACACACACACACACAGATACACACACTCACACACACACAGACACACACACATACACACACACACACACACACACACACACACACACGCACACACGCACGCACACACGCACGTTAGAGAAGTGGACAGGAAGGACAGGCCAGTAAACAGGTTCTCTTAGTAGAGGAAGTGTGCTCTCAGTTCACTTCCTGTGCAGGGTACAGAAGCAGAGTGGTGCTGAACACCAATTACAAGGGCAGCTGAGAGACGCTAGGTGGTTTCTTCTTCTGACCCTACTCAGACTGTCCCCAGGCTCCATGGCCCTGAGCCTCTCTTGGACACACCCCAACCTCTCCCCACCCTCCCCAGTCAGAGGGATTGCTGATGGCACCTTGGACAAGTGTGTCCTCTTTGGGGCCAGTCAGAGGAGCTGTGGAGGCAGAGCAAGCAACTCTGCCCAGCTCCCTGGGGACCACAGGCTGTTCCATCAACAGCCCTGGCAACCCAGTGGGCCATTTCCCAGGAGACAGTTGCCAGGCAGTGAAAGGATGGCGCTCCCTGCCCTCCCAGAAGCCAGCTGGCTCCCACACCTGGAGGTAGGCCTCTGCACTGTCCATCTGGACAAGAAGGTGCCGCCTGCACGTTCTGTTTAACGTGGGCCAAGAGTCACAATGCTGCCCTGAAGGCTAAGGGGCCACGGGAGCCTGGGCTTCTGCTTGTGGCACAGTACAGAAAAACCCTCAGGCAAAGGCCAGAGCGCCACCCAGACACCACACACAGCCCATCCCCCACCAGCTTCTCCTTGTCCCTCTACACTGTACCTTGTAGCTACCTGCAGTTTGGATGCAGCAAGACTGGAGGTAGGTATCTTGTTATCTTTGCACTGTACAATATAAAGGCCCACCATCTTTGCACAGAGGGGGAACCGGTACAGTGGGGGTGTGCCAGAGCCATCCTGTAAGCCCGGGTGCTTACATCAGAAAGTCCTCCAAAGCCCAGGAGAGCTGACCCAGGAGTGCACAGAGGCCAGTCACAGGGCCTTCACACAGACATGGGCCTGCACAGCGGCCATCAGTAGACACCAGCCTGTGTGAACTACACCATCCCTAGATTCTCTCTGGATCTGTTGTCAACCTGTTCACACCTAGACATGGACGAAAGGTACCAATCCTCAGTAGGTCTCCTCCCGCATGCTAGAGGCAAAGGACTGTGAGAGCAGCTGAACACTCTCCCTGGGTGCCAAAGGGCCACCCTAGGACTCCCCCGGTCAACCAGCCCCACTTTGGCCCATATGTCTAGAATGTACACCTCCTCACTGGAAGGGAGCTGGGGATGAATCCCAGAAACACAGCAGGCACCAGGCTTTGGTTCTGTGGCCAGGGCAGACCTGCACACCCAGTGGTTCCTTGGTTGGACCACATCCTCCCATTTGCTAGAAGAGAAACATGTTTTGTAAGGTATGTCCCATGACAGGATCTGGGGGTGGGGGTGAGAATCCTGTTTATAAAGGACACTACTGTGTTGCAGAGGGATGCCCACAAAATGCCACAAGATGACAGAGGCTCACAGGGACCCAGAGGATGACAGCCTTTGTGCAGGGAGGTAATATTGGTACTGAGTTTGCAGAAGGGAATGAGAGGCCCTGTAGAGATGAACACACTGGCCTGTGAGACGGCTCAGCAGCCTCTTGCCGTCAAGCTTGAAGACCTGAGTTCGATCCTCAGGACCCACAGGGTGGAAGGAGAGAATCAACTCCTACATGTTGACCTCTGACCTCCACATGCTTGCCGTGGCATGTACATGGGTGCGCACATACACATGTGTACACACATAAATAGAAAAGATAGGAAGGGATGTTAGCCAATCTGCAGGCAAAGAGCAGACAAGGTCAGCGGAGTCGGCATCACGGGGGAGGGGCCTTGGGAAAAGACACAGCTGATGGGAATACAGGCTTTGAAGTCTACCTTTGTGGGGAGCCCTAGAAAATGCTACCTGTCTTCAGAGGAGTGTGGGGAAGTCGCACAGACTGAGGTTTACAGCCAGGGAAAGCACACACCCTTGTCCACATGTAAACATTCAAGTCTGTGTTCATACATCTGTGCACAGTTGTACTCACACATACTAGTATCAATAAGTGTGTGGCCTTGTGAGTCCCAGCGCTCCTATGGTCTTATGGGGTGGTGGAACACAGGGAAGGCAGAGGTGGGCAGATCTCTGTGAGTCTGAGGCCAGCCTGGTCTACACAGATCCAGTCTAAGGAAAAAGTTAAGAGAGAGAGCTAACCTTAAGAAACCCCATGGTAAGCCGGGCAGTGGTGGCGCACGCCTTTAATCCCAGCACTCGGGAGGCAGAGACAGGCGGATTTCTGAGTTCGAGGCCAGCCTGGTCTACAGAGTGAGTTCCAGGACAGCCAGAACTACACAGAGAAACCCTGTCTCAAAAAACCAAAAAAAAAAAAAAGAAACCCCATGGTAGCAGGCAGTGGTGGCACACTCCTTTAATCCCTTGGGAGCACTTGGGAGGCAGAGGCAGGTGGATATCTGTGAGCTGCAGCCTCTACAGAGAATTCCAGGGCATTGAGGACTATTACACAAAGAAAATCTATCTCAAAAACCAAAAAGAAAGAAATTCCATGGCCACTCAAAAAAAAAAAAAAAAAAAACCTGGTACCCTGGGGCTCAAAGAAAGGGTGTCACGCAAAAATCTCAAAGCTAGTGAAGACCTATACAGGTAGTGACAGTCATGTCAGGTGCCTGGCGTTCTCAACTCTTTACTCTCAGGGGAGCCAAATGTTCACAGCTGCTCCCCTCCCCCATCCTGGTCTGGCCTGTTCTAGGAAACTCCTTCTGACCATATTTCTAACCCCTGTGTCTCGGGCTTAGCTTGTACATCACCAATGGGATGCTGGAACGTGATGCCAGGCTCATGCAGGGGGTGGGATGCTGCTAACATTTGTACCGAAAGCTCTGGAGAGACTATCCTCCCAGGACCTGTGCCCAGGAACCATAGCAGGAATACACTGAGAACCCCCTACCCCAAATCACAAGACGCTGGGGGAACTTTCCAGCACGACCCATTCCTTCCAGATGGGGCCAGCTGTAAGGAAAGCTCACAGTCAGTCTCCAAAGCCAAGGACAGCCGGTAGAAACTGAGCCCCAGGAATGGAAGGGACGGCACCTCCCCGGTTTACACTTAGCGAAAGCATGTCGGCACAGACACTTTGAGGCCCTGTGGGACGGCTGGCTGAGACTGCGTGACTTTCTTCCCAGGTCTCTGAGGCTGGATCCCAGTAGACATGCTTCCACGGGGGCACTAGGCCAATGTACTCAATGACAGAGCAGCCACCACTGCCCACGGCCACTGAGGGTGATAATAGGAAACCCACTCAGCATCTAGGCTCTGACCACATGGAATTTTCCGTCTGTGGTAAAACTGATCTAGAGGCTCAGTCGGGTGGGGCGGGCACTCATCCCTGTCCTGGGCTACTGGCTACAGTGTGGACTGCAGGAACCAGGCTCCCAGCAAAGGTGGGCAGGAGGCAGCACTGTCCCCAGCTCCCAGGAGTCCCCTACTGTGAGTCTCTCAGCCCCCACACCCCCAGATGCAATACCCACGAGCCACATTACATATGCAGCTCTCATACATGTAAACGGCCAGGAGCAAACCTCCAGGTGGGCAGCTGCCTTAAGTTAGGGCTTTTATTGCTGTGATGAAACACCCATGACAAAAAAGCAGGTTGGGGAGGAAAGTTTATTCAGCGTTTATTTTCAGATCATAGTCCTTCATTGGCGGAAGTCAGGACAGGAACTCAAGCAGGGCCGGAACCTGGGGGCAGGAGCTGATGCAGAGACCATGGAGGGGTGCTTCTTACCAGCTTGCTTCCCATGGCTTGCCCAGCCTGCTTTCCTAGAGAACCCAGGACCAGCAGCCTAGGGATGGACCTGCCCACAGTGGGCTTGGCCCTCCCCATCAATCACTAATTAAGAAAACACCTTACAGCCAGAGCTTGGGAAGGCATTTCCTCAATATAGGACCCCTCCTTTCAGATACCTTTAGTCTGTGTGTCGAGCGGACTGAAGACTAGCCAGCACAGCACTGTTGAGGCTCTGGGCCCACCAGTGTGGAAGCATCTGGACAGTCATCTAGAGGGAACATAAAGCCACAACCTTCCTG